ACAAATCTAATAAAACCAAAGCCTTCGTAAACATATAATAAGAATGCTAACCATCAGGTTGGTTGGGGACACCAAGGCCACCAGCACCTAGTCCGCCAAACATATTCATCAGCAAGTCCAGATTAGCAGCTCCTGGTGCCGCTGAAAATACAATCAAACAAAACAAAGGGTAAAAACATAAAAATAGTTGAAAGAGCTGGTAAAGGAAGATGTCACAGCAAACTAGAGAAAACCCTAGTTTGGAATTGTTTTAATCTATACCTGTAGTACCACCGGTCTGAGCTGGATCCCTGTAAGAAAGCCAAATGAGGTTAAAAAAACAATTATAATCACCACTCCTTTTGTAATCATGTGCTGCCCAGATTACTATTTGATTCTATTTTTAAATCCCTCATATTGTCCAATTGAAACCAATAATTATAGACGAAAGGTACAAGATATCTATCTTCAATCAAAGAACCAGATAGGGTTTAAGTCGGTTTAGAAACAATTTTGATATTTGTAACCACAGCGTGTAAAAATCTTAGGCCAACCTTGAAAGCAAGAGTAGTAAAAGGCATTTCAGGTTTTGGTTATCAATGGAAAAGACAGATGTACTATCACTTACTGGGTTGCTTGTTGTCGATTGAGAGACGCAAGGGACTGTTGTAAAGTTAGCATTTGCTGCAAGAAATAACAGGGAAAAGGGGAAAGGTGAACATAGGTGACTTCACTATCAAAACAGTACTTGGAAAAAAAACAACAAATAATCTGATATTATAAAGTGAGGTAGCCTTAGCATGCCCATAAGACTGTATCAGCTACGGGCAAGCTTAAATAAAGATATATTGATGCAAAACCATCAAGTGGTGTAAGCTTTTAGCATTTATCGAATTCAGCGATACTTATGTCATAGAACATACCTGCATTGTCTCAGGGGAAAACATCTGACGAAGTACTTCTGGGTTTTGCATCATTTCTCTCAATTGAGGATTCAAATCAAACATACTACCTAATTGAGGGTTGAGATTCATAATCTAAAAAGTAAAAACAGATTTTTAACAAACTGAAAATAAGCAAAAGAAAATCTCTTGACCGAAGTGATTCCCAAAATACCTGATTAATATATTGGGGATTAGACATTATGCTCTGCATCATCTGTGATATTGCTGGGTTTTGCAATAACTGAGTCAACTGAGAAGCATCTGGCATTCCAGTCACCATTGGAGGCAGATCTGGAAGTCCAAGGCTTCCCAGACCACCAACACCTGGTGTCCTGGCATCCGCGGCAGGATTTGGCCTTGCAGTGGCATTGGCCTGGGTCCCCCCTGACAATTTGCAGCACACATTAATTCATCAGGAAATCAAGATCTAAAACACAGATACGACAAACCCATTAAAAGAATCAGCATCCTATTGCAAAACATCAAAAGATTATAGTCCATAAGTATGCGACATTAACAAGGGCAACAAACTGTAATTACATGAATCTCAATCAAACCATTCACCCGTTAACTGAATAATAATGCTTTGTTTTAGGCATTGATCAAATCTACAATCTACATGATAAAAAATACTTAACCAACAGCTTTCAGGATCATGCTTACATAATTTTCCTCATTAATCACTAGCATTTGAAATTAGTTACCATTCATCTCAGCAGCAAGTGCATAAAATGAAAAAATATGCACATTGGACAAATGAGTATAGCTAGGCAGAAAAGATGCTTTGATGAAGTATAGAATACTTACCACCAGCAACAGTGTTGCTCCAAGGATTAGGGAGAGGATTTGTGTTTGGGGAGGTTTGTCCCTGAGCAGTTTCAGAATTAGTCGTAGAAGTGCTAATAGTTGAGTTTCTAGCTTGAGGACCACCTTGATTGCCCAATAAAGCAGCAAATGGGTTTGAACCCGGATTACTTCCATTAGTCCCCCCCCATAGTTGTAGCATTCAAAAATGGCTCCTGAACATTTTCATACATGCGCCTAAGCATGTTAAATCCCTCGGGAGAGCCTTCAATATTACTCATAGCCCTATCAGTGTTTCGCATCATTTCACGCATGAGTTCAGGGTTTCTTGCAGCTTCCAATGTTTGCTGGAGAATGCTAGGATCATTAAGTACATGCCCAAGCTCAGGATTCCGATCAATAATTTCACGCATTTGCGGATTGCTCATAATCAAACTGCGCATCAACTCCGGGTTATTCATCAAACTTTGAATAGCAGGTGTATTCATGTTGGGATTTTGAGTTAGTTGTTGCTGTACTTGTTCAAATTCAGGAAGTCCAGATCCAAACAAACCCAAACCTCCTCCTCCACCACCACCACCAAGTGGACCAAGTCCAGGGAATAAGGATGCTCCCAGACCAACACCTTCATTCGAACCAATACTCCGAGGTACCCCTGGTGCAGTATTATCTGCTGCAACATTTGTTGTAGCTGCAGGAGGAGGTGCAGATGAAGATGGGGCAAAACCACGAACCATGTGAATGGTATGATCAACTTGCAAACCTTCAATAGGAAATGGTCAATTGATTAAAGGGTTGTATTATAGTTAATGCCTTTCAATTTCAATTTCAATGATCATGTCACAATCTTCGGTAGCCCCAGGTTATACAATCAAATACATAGCCATCAAACCAGCTCAACAAAATCAATGTCATGCCACCAAAATCAGCATATTCCCAAGTAAAAACCTAATTATCCATGCTAAGAAAATCAAGCATTTTCCTCCTAGTTTCAAAACTTACTATCAGAACCATTTTTCTTCTAGGAATCTCACCGTTCTCTAACATTTTTCTTATAATTCAATCAAAAAGGAAATACCCAGAAATTACGAGGAAAAAAAATCACCTAGAGGCAATTAAAACATACCATAACTTTGAAGGGTTTGGTCGTCCTTCAGGATTCGCCCTTTATAAATCAATCGTTGCTGATCAGCTGGGATATCGCAATTCTGAGCCAAAAGGGCTTTGAAAGATCCACTGCTCGATTCGAGGCTGGTCCTCACCGTAAATTTTGTGCCGTTCGAGCAGCGAATATTAACCATCACTCCCTCTTCTTCTCCCCCTCCATTGCCACCGAGTCGTGAGTCGCTCGAATTGCCTTCCGCACCCATATCCTCCCTTTCTCAGATCGATCAAAAACCCTAGAAAAAATAATTGAAAAATAATTTAAAGAATCGGAGCAATTTGTAAAAATGAATCGTAAAAACAAAGGGGATTTTTGGGACTTTGGATTTGGAGAAATTTGGGGATTCTAACAGAACAGAGCTTTGCTCGGGTTTGTGCGAGTGGCGATACTGCCCATATTGTAGAATTTTATTAGGTTAAATTATTGTCTTAATCACTCAAATCTTCTCAGATGTCTCTTTTTGAAATTTAACTTAAACCTTTTTCAATTTAATCACATAATTTTCAGATTACTCTTGTTTTCATCACTCTACCATTAAATAATTAACATTGTGATAACATGACATTTATTTTTTAAAATTAATAAAAAGAACCAAAAGTTATGTTTATTTTTGAAAAAAATCTTAAATCCCTTTTAAATTTTAAATTTTCATATCCTTTTAATTTTTTTAAGTTAGATTATATTCTTTCAAATTCTAATGGTGGAGAGGTGAAAGGAGGAGACAAACTATATATCCCAATTTTATGTTAATCGAACAAAAAAAATATCCTGATAAAAATATACACTAATAGAGTAATAGTGAAGGATGAGATTTTAGAAAAATATACACTAATAGAGTAATAGTGAAGGATGAGATAAATTTGTGGTTCCTTAAGTAATCGGATAAAAATATCAAAGAATGATGGGTTTGACACCAACATAATATAGGAATAAACAACTCATAAATTTTTAATAGTATGGAGAAGAAGATGAAATAAAAATAAAAATGAGGTGAATTACATATAACTTTCATATTAGCATAAAGTTGTTCATGTCACTTATTATTTTTGATTTAATGCAGGGATGATCAAAATATGATAAATTTAAAAATTGAATTATCAAATTGAAAACATTTCAAATGGAGTGGTGAAAACAGGAAACATAGACAAAGTTGAGTGATAGAAATCATAGTTTACCCTGATATTACTATTATTATTATTATAACAGGTTTGTCATGTAAGCCAGTAATATCCTGCCACGTTTCAAAAAATGGCACCCTTAGCCTTTTTTTAAAGGGAAAACTACATCCCAAGTTACTTGTTTTTTATTTTATCTTATTTTAGTCATTCATTACGAAAAAGTATTACAAAAAGTATTTATTCATAATTTGACTCCTAAATCTTGGATTTATTGTCGCCACTGTTTTTAACTGTTGTTTGATGTCGTATCGGAGACCCTCTTTGAGGAATCGAGGTAGTGTTGGTGGCGAAGGTGGTCCACGGTGGTTCCTATACTGAGCTCCCTCACTTCCTCCCATAGGGATTTACTTTGCCGTCCATTTTAGAAAGCTCTACCATGTTGGATTTGGCTATTTTGCTAAGAAATGTAGTTAACCCTTTCTAGTCGAACAACCTTAAGAGAAGCTCAACTGCACGACACATTTAAGTCATTTCCTCCCCTAGCATATGTCACCTGCACTCTCGATCGAACTATGTTAACATGTTCGTCGATTAGAATTCGATGACAATTATAGGTTAAACAATCGAACCAATTGTATATTAGTCCGACTATCGAACAATGAACCCTTCTTGAATCAACACTAAAATTTTAATCAAACAAGAACACAGTTGTTCATCCAAGAAGAGTTCTAACAATAGCAAAACAAGTCCATATGCCATCCTAAAGCTCTACACTTTCCTTGCCTGTTTGCTTTATCCAACTCGTCCGAAAACATCACTTCTCATCACTCGCATGCACCCGGAACAAAATTATCATAAACACTGATGTATTTATGTACTAGTCCAGTCCACCCGAGTATGATCACAAGAGCGACAATACTCTCCCTTATCAATAAATTATAAATTTAATATGCAACTTTTTAACATTCATTGCCATTCCTAAACAAAAAGTAGTACTAATAAAGCATTTCCATTATCAATAACATAGTGATTTCACCAATTTGAAGATCAATGGATCTATCTTCTCCAATGTAATGGAAGATCGATCATTGTAAATGTTTAAGAACATTATTCAGACATGAAATGCAGGTAACTCCAGGTTTTTTTCCCGACAGATTATATAATTGTCCTAAGCTCTCCTGTAAGCAGTGCGAACTTTCGATGCTGAGACAAAATAGAAGGGATTCTAACAGCTTGAATTCTGGATGCCAAGTCACTGCAACTTGATTCGGTCTGTTTGGAAGCTGCATCGAGTATCGTTTGCAAGATTTGTAACGGATCACCATGGCTGACAACCAAGATCGCACATCTGCTTCGGGAAAGAAAAAAATATTAGCTTCAGATTAGGCTTGGCATCAGCATGCTATCCTGATTATGCTAATGCTGCATATTTATAGACCAGATTGGATTGCTCCTACGTATGCCCAGACATGAATATAAAAATATGATTATGACCTCCCAAAAATATCTTAAAATACATAGAAAATGAAAGATTCAGCATACCTGTATTTGACACTTCTACCCTAGTCTTAGCATAACATCAGAATAACAATTCTGATAATAAATTCTACTTTTGATGTGATAAATTTCGAGAGCAAATTTCTACTTTTAGTTGGAGTAAACTAGGAGCATGATCACAAGTTTAACCAGTCTAAAGTGTTTCATGATTCCAATCACAAACCGTTTCATGCCTATTTTTGAGTATTTCCCATGCCTCTACACAAATCAAAGCCTTTTCTTTTCGATTTAACTCTATTTTATGGAAGTTGACCTACTATGAGGAGAATATATATCTATTATTTCATAATTTGATATGATTTTCAGCATGTCCCGCATCGAAAAACGACAATGCTGCTTGATATTCTAGACATAATTCATACGTTTTGTTAGTTTGACTGTTAAAGAAACGCGAATAGTTTACCCCTGGTATTCGGATTCCATAGTTTCCATAGCACTTGCAAGTCTAGCAACCACATCATCAACACTTTCTCCACCTTCCGGCCTTGTGAATGGATCTTTTTCATCCATTGCCCATATTTCCGGATACTGTTTTGTTTATAAGTTACAACAAAAGTTAATAAAGACTTAAGTGGCAATGGGCCTAAAGTGTAAAATAAGCAAAAGTACTTTATAGTTTATGCATATGGCTGTTGCCTAAAGTGTGTTACATGATAGTCCTTATAATCCATCAGCTTGAAGGTTATGCCTGGGAATGGGAAGATATAAATTGACCATGTTTACTCGTCACTTACTTTATCATGAGATAGAAGCTCGAATGAAGGGCCAAAGTATCGTTCTCGAAGATCTTCTATGACCTATCCAGTCACCCAAATTCAATATAACATAATTTCCCTCAAGAAAAGATTGAAAATCGAAACCAGAGAAACACACAGTATCGGGTTTAACATCTCAATTACTATAACCTCACCTTGCATTGAGGACCCTCAAATGGAAGATTCAAAACCGATGCAACAACCTCAGCTGTATGACTCGTCCTTGCAAAGGGCGAGTAACAAATACGCACATTCTCAAGCGGTATGTTGTTTTCCTTCAGTTCCTGCACTCGGTATGCAAGCAAGTGAACAAGTATGTCGTTTCGTTTTTCTAATTTACAGCATAATACTTAGAGCCTACATCCTTCCTATTGTTCATCTTATGCTTAAATTACATGAACAGCAACTACCTTTAGGAACAATTTTCCAGCCAATTGAGCTTGCTCTACACCTTCCGATGCCAACCGATATTCGAGACGAACACCATTTTCCTGATGGGATTCTAAAGATTAGTTACTAACAAGAGCCAAGTAGCAAAATCAAAACTTTATGGTATGCAGTGAAAAGCAATCATAGCAGAAATGAAGCTTAGCAGCTGCAGCATCCCTTGGCATCTAAAAAAAAACATGTACCGAGTTCACGACTTTCTGTATTGGCCCATATAGCTTAATGTTCCGGTACATCCGACACGAATATATTTAATTTATTCTATGTTCTTAGGGTGTTCATGTTCGAATATGTGCCGGATAATCGAGATAAAATAATTGAAAGACGAGACAGATAACGATGAAGGAATTGAGTGACTGACCAATGAAGAAACAATGAGGCCTTTCTCGTTTGGGATGCTTTTTCCATGCCTTAGAATCCAGTATCTGTTGCGCAGAAACGACGGCGTTCCCATCTCTGTTCCTCCCTCTTCCTTTCACCTTTGCTTCCTAATTGCAAGTGGTCAGTTCTTATTTATACCTAAAGGGAAATTCCGCGTTAGGTGGGAACGATTATTGTGTCAAAGGGTAAACTACATCTAATGTCATTATGATTTCCGGTTTATCTTATTTGGGCCATAATGTTTTTAAAAAATTATATTTGAGCTATTTATGTAATTGATTTATTATGTTTTGGTCATTAAATTGGCGTGACATGTTAATGAAAAAAGTTAATTTCTAATTGAATCTTTAACTTTTAAAAATATTTTTTTTCATCCTATACAAAAAATTGAAACTATCTTTTTTTCTTAAAAAAAATATATTTTCTTATCTGACTCTAAATTTAGATTGGTTGTCGTTGTCGCCTTGAGTTAAAGTTTGATATAACTTTCAACACAGGGTTTTGTGCCATGAGTCACCTTCAACCGCTGCTCAAATCCCACGAGTCAAACAAGGTTTTTGTGGTGAACGTTGAATGATAAAACAAGGTCTCAGACTACATACAAATCCATCCACAGAGATAATCCTAAAAAACGAATCATTGAATGGGTTTGAATATTAGGAACCGAGAAGCCATAAACACAGGATTAGAGTTAGGGAAGAGAAAGAGCGTATTATACTCCGTATTATTATTTTTGGTCGAATTTTGTTATTAGTATTTATTACGTATAGGTTACGAATTTAATTTTATACTTCGATTGTATGATTTAATCAGTTTTAATTTATGTATCTTTTGAATTCTGAAATTTTAGACCTAACCTAAATAGCAGGGACAATAGGATTAGGGATAGGTATGGATTGGGTCGATCTAGTATTTGGTCAACCCGAACCTGATCCGAGCATTCTTAAATCTACTAAAATCAAAATTGAATTTTAACAACTAATACTTAAATCAAGATTGAAATTTTAAAATTTAAAAACTATACGTACTTAAAATGATTAAATAAGAGTTTAGGGATTAAATGCACAATTTACACATAAAACAAGGACTAATAGAATAATTTGACTTCCTCTTTATATTTTAGGGAAAATTTATAATTTATTTATTATTAAATGAAATATAAATAGAATTATTATTGATAATCAAAATAAATATTTTTATATCAACAAAGATTGATTCAAGTGGTAAGTAGTTTAAATATATCTCGGATTCGAGAACGGAGAAGATAAAAAACAATATTTTTATATTGAATAAATTTATGAGTGCGTGCTCACCATAACCATATAAATCTAGTCATCAAATATTTCACATTGTCTATTGTAACGATTAAATTTAAGAGTAAATTATGCGATTAATATTTAAAATGTTAATTTTGATCTATTTTAGTATTTAAATATTTATTTTTTTAAAATCATACCTACAATTTAGTTTTTTTTATTTTAGTATCACGCCGTTAAAAAAATTAGTATTTGTTTCATTTTATTACCCCATTCAAAATTTAACATAAGTTTTGAAAAAAAAAAGTTTAGGTACTTGAAGACACTGAATTTCGATCGATTAATATTATATTTTATAATATTGTTTTTATTATTATAAATTTATATTTTCATTCATTCATTATTTATGCTACATTTTACAGGTGGCCCAAGAACCCAGATGGTCCAACAGAAGACTCGTTTGGTAATCAAACCAAACCCTAACGCCGCATCCCTTGTTTCCAGCCGCGCAAAGACCCCATGCCTCACGAGTCTTCACTGTTCATGCCTCTCCCCCGTACTTCTCGGCAGTAAACCACCTTCGTGGATATATGGGACTCCAACCCCGAAACGTGCGACGAACAATACAATCATCATCAACAAACAACAACGCATTAGAGTTATATTTTAAATAGGAGTCTAAAAAATAGTTAGTTTTTCAGTATAAATAGATCCATTTGTAACACTACGGAGGAGGTTTTTTTTTTTTTCCCAGAAGATAATACCAGAGAGCCTTAGACACAAAATACTCAAAAATCCACGAAGCAAACCAGAGTTCTTGTAATCGTTTCGAAAGGAAATAAAAAGGTAGCAGTGTTTTTTTACCTTTGTCCATCCGTTTTTGTTGCCTTTGCATGTTGATTTCTAGGCCTTGTACTGCGTTTTGATTCGAAAGACGACCCAGAAAAAAGAAAAAAAACGTTTTCAGCCGATGAACGAGGAGAGAGTTTCAAAACTTTGAAGCTAGATCTACTCCCTGAGGCTCGTTATTTGTTGGATTTTTTTTCATTTTTGAGAAGTGTGGGTAAAGGGCTTTCGAACTGTAAAAAAATAAATTTTTTTTGCCGCCGATGAACAGCGGCGGCGAGGCGGCGCTCAGAGGCCAAAGGCCGGATTCTGGAAAACTTGGCCCATGTTCTTCATGGCTGAAGAACAATGGCGATAGAGAAATGAGAGAAGGAGACGAGGGCTTTTTGATTTCTGAAGGAAGGAATGAAACTAAAATTTGTTTGTTTGAGTCATATATTAAGCCCATTCGACCCACGTGGACCGTGACCGGATTCACGTTTTTTCACGCAAAATAGGAGCAATCTCAGTTTTAGTCCTTTTATTTTAACTCCTTCCATTTTCATCCCCAAACTGAATTTAAACCATCCGCGTGTTTCTATCTAAAATAGGGTAAACTACCCTTTTGATCCATGTTACCTCGAAAAGAGCCGTTTTCCCCCCTCAAATCGAAATTAACCCTTAATATTGCTTTGGAATTTTGACCTCTAGCCTGCAGTTCTTTCATTTTAATCCTTTCTCTGGATTTTAATTTTAATTATCTTTTTATATTACATTATAATATTTATATATATTTTATATTCTTATTAGTTTTTTTTATACACTCGTATATATGTATTATTAGTATAGTATTATTTCACTTATATGTTATATTATATATATATATGTGTGTATACATTTTGTATTTTATCTTATTATTTCTTTACTTTTTTTTCTTATTATATTTATCTTCATTATTTAGTTTTTCTATTACTATTATATAGATTTTTTTCCCTCTCATATTTAGTTATTATATATATATGGTATTAATATTATTATATGTTTTATTAACTTTATTTATTTTACCTTATACGCTATTATTTTACATTTTTATATACATATGGACATTTTATTTAATTCTTATCACTTTACATTTGTATGTTATTTTATTTCACCTTTATTATGTTTTATTTATTTATTTATTCCTTTTTTATTTTATTTGTACATATTTGATTATAGTTATTTATTTATTTTAGTTTTTTAGTTTTTTAATTTATTACTATTATATATATCTTTTTTTTTATATCTTTATTATTATTACCATCATTTTTATATTCTATATTTTCCTCATCTTATTTGTTTTCCATTTTACCTTAGGTGTTTTATTTGCATTTCTTATCTAATATATGTCTTGATCTTTTAAGGGTACAATTTAAGCAATCTAAGGTAAGTAATTTGGATCGTCATTTTACATTTTAATTTAAATTTACAACTTTCTTAATTAAAGACAACTGGAAATTACATAGTACCGAAAGGGCAGTTCAAGGGTGCTAATCCTTCCTTAGCTGTAACCGACTCCCGAATCCGACATATCTTTGGTAAGACGCAGATCAGGTAAGATATAAGGTATCCGATTAACCTATTTATTTTTAAATAAATAATCGGTGGCGACTCCAATCCATTTTTCAAGTCGAAGCCCAATTCCGGGGCCCAAACCGAAAGACGGTTACGACAGCTTGGCGGCTCCACTGGGAAGAGGTAAGTGAGTCAGGCTAAGGTAATTTCCAGTTGTCTTTTTAACGAAAATGGTAAGTTCAAATTTTAAGGTAATATTTCGATCCTTTTTACTTACTTTTGATTATATTTTCGAGTAAATAGTTGGACTAATCGTTTTCTCATGATTTCAGACTTCAAAGTTTTTTCATCTAAGGCTCTATACCCGAGCTCCATTTCCTATTTTAAGTGGGGGTGAAAGCGACGCCTTCGTGTGAATTTATTCACCGTGCGGGCCTAGCAAGTAGCCTTCGGGATTCATATACCTTATGTCTTCGTGTGAATTTATTCACCGTGCGGGCATAAGGGAATGTGTCCCCTCGAGTTTAACTTAGTTCACACAAGCTTGTGATGGGTTTAGGACTAAGGGTCTGGCAAGCCCAAGGGGGCACCGACAAGGAGAACTCGGGTACCGTTTTTAAAAAAAAACCTAAACCGGGAGACCATGAAGAATTAGAGCCTACCCCGAAACCACGTTCCAAAACTTAGGATATTTTTACCCTAACCATGTTTTTTTCCTTCCGTCATTTTTTTTTATTATTTTTGAATTTTTATTTTACTAACGTTTTTGCCTTTGTGTTTGTTTTCTAGCATTTGCATCATTACAAGAGGCTATTGATCCCTAAAAAGCGTTTGTTATACACAAAATAATTCGAATTAATGGACAAAGGTGTTGTAATACAAGAGATTGAAAACGCTGAGGCACGACTATGGTCCGAGAAGGCTCAGAAAGAGAAGGGAGACAGTCTTCAGGGAAACTATGTGTCAGAACTGGTTAGTTATGCCGCTGTCAGCCTGAAACAGAATAATGTCCAAGAGCTGCGAAACATTTGGGACAGTTGGAAGAATGACAGAAAGCAGAAGTTCAGTCAACGATATGGTGATATCGCCCTCTTGCTCCATGTCAAGGCTGATGAGCCCTTACTCCGAGCATTAATTCAATTCTGGAACCCTGGATATAGTTGTTTCACCTTTAACCAGGAAGACATGGTACCTACTATCGAAGAGTATACTACTCTACTGCACTGCGAAAGCATTAAACTAGAGAGGGCATATATTAAACATATCAAGAGTCAGCCCTTCAAGAACGGACTGGCCAAGATTGCAGGGGTTGATGAAAAATGGGTGACTGATCGACTCCGGCACAAAGGTAGCGGGGAAGGAATCGAGTGGATCCATATAAAGCAACTAATGAAAAACCACCCTGATGAGTGGAAGACTATAGACCTGTTTGCACTGGGTCTGTACGGTTTGATCATATTTTCGAAGGCTTTGGGGTGCATTGACGC